TTGGGGGGTTTCCTCACAACTCTCCAAGCCTCCAAAGCCTCCAACACTCATATTTTGCTCTCCCAAGCCTTCCCTGCTCAAAATGTTCGGAAGAAGTGCCTCCAGGAAGCGAAGGGCCACCGCTGGGGCTAGCAACTCGGCACCACCGCCACCCCCAGACCCTTCTCAACTTCAACCACAACACCAGGCCCGCCTGGACAACCTCCGAAACTACCAGTGGCACTCCCTGCTGACACTGGACTTCAGCGTCTTGGCTGAGTTCGGATGGGAGGAAGACGTCCGAGCGCACATTGATAACATCGGGTGGGGTTTTACTGCTACGGCCTCCACCCGTTCATGTGTACCCACAGGCGGTACTCGAGTTTCGGCCTCGGTCTCCCTCATTGAGATCCCCTCTATGGCCTCGGGCATGCAGCCCACCAAGATGGTCAACTATTTTATGGGTGGGCAATACCACACTACCACTTTGGAGGAATTCAATGTTTCCATTGGATTCATCCGGCCGAGGCGGCGTTAACTCGGGAGTACCGTGAGGCCATTTGCTCTAGGCCCACCAACCTCACCGTCGTCGAAATGTGGCATGAGCTCACCGGGGCCACCACATTGCCTTCATTGATGAGGGGGTCTCGCACTCCCCCACCACTTCGCATCTACCACAAGCTGTCGGTAGGCACCATCCATGCCGGGAAAGAGAGTCGGGGAAGATATCTCTCCCTGACCTCTTTGTCCTCTATTGCATGCACCAGAGACGGCGCTGCAATCCTGGGTACTTCCTCCTAAGGGCCCTGAAGGACTTCGGGAGTAGATCCACGGGGGCCATCCTTGTGGCTCCCCTCATCACCCCTCTAGCGGAGAGAATGGGGTGCCCCGGCCGGGAAGAGCCGGCCCGCACTCGCGACCCGAGCCCATCAACGGGCCAATGCTCGGTCGGCATGGGGATGCCTGATACGCCGGGGAAGTCAGTTCGCCCTGCATCCCAACCTGGACTTTGAGTTGGACCTCCAGGGAATAGTGGCGATGCAGGATGCGCCCACATCTCCCAGCTCCCAGCAGCAGCGGCAGCAGCAGCAGCAGCAACCACCACCATACACGGAGGACTTTGCCGGCCTCCACCAACACATGGACGACCTGAGTCAGCAGCTCGGCCAAATGGTGATATGGCAAGAGCAACAGGACCCAGTGGCGGCGGGACCAAGACGTTCGCCAACGGACCCTTCAAGAGGGCCAAAACGAGATCCGCCAAGAGCAGCAGAGGATGCGGCGGGAGTGGGTGGCGTTCCAGGAGGATTACAACGACGAACTCCAGGAACAAATCGACTTCCGCTACCACATGTATAAACATTTCCCCCACCGCACTCCTTCTGATGATGATGACTCTTAGGGACTGTACTGGTTGAAAAATCGCTGTAATAAAATTTCCTATAAATAAAATTTTATTTCCCGCATCCTTCGCCTTCTTTTGCAAAAGCCAGCATAACAAAAAGCTTAAAAAAGGAAAAGGCACGTGCTCAATAAAAAGCCAGAATCCAAAATCGCGAGAAAAAAGAGATAAAGCCACGAGAAAAAGGCAGGATTAACCAAACAAAATTTCGACTGCCAAGCAAAAGTCGAACAAAACAAAGAAAACCCGACCAACCAGCAAGGGTCGGATAACCAACACAAAAATCAAAAGCAAAAATCCCAGCAACCAATGAAGCTGGATGAACAGCAAACCAGATTTCCGGCAACCCGGATGACCATTCCAGAAAGGTCCAACCACAATTACCAAAACACAGAAAATTACTCCCCAGTGAAACGGCGCATGATCAGAATCAGTAAGCCGCCACCATCGCCAAAGGATCGACTACCGCAAGAAGGGGCATCCAGAGGCACCAAACTAGGTGAGGGTCCGTACTCGTCAACCAAAGGATTAGCTACCGCAAGATGGGGCATCTGGAGGCTTAACACTAGATGGGGGTGTGTACTCATCAGGCCTTACAAAAGAGGGCTTACCAGACGGGGGTTCATACTCGTCAAACACCAGATGGGGGTGTGTACTCATCAGGCCTTACAGAAGGGGGCTTACCGGGCGAGGGTTCATACTCGTCAAACCGGATGGGGGTTCATACTCATCGGCCGAAGGGGTCGGCTACCGCATCAAAGGAGCATCCCGGAGGCGCACAACACAACATCTCCCCCAAAGATCACCCGCCGCAAAGACGGAATATCCGAAGGGAAACCGGGCAAGAGGGTCAACTCCTTTACCCTCCAGTCGATCACCTGGGCACAAGAAGGCCGACAGTCGATCGGTCGGGTAAAGGGGGCAGCGTAGACCCCAAATCTTGCCCGACCTCGGAATAAAGTCGAAAGCTTCCTATTTGAAGATGGCCGAAGCCTAACAAGCCATTAGGAGAGACTATTAGGCCCCCGTACTAAGATAGGAAGGTTTTTTGGCCCGAAAATAAAGTTTCTCGCCCTGAAGGGACGAGACCGCCGTCTGGGAATACCAGACCGCCGTCTCGTTTCAACGCCAGGACGAGACCGCCATCTCGATTTTCCAGACGGCGGTATCGTCACCCGCAAATTCAAGACGGCGGTCTGGGTTTTCCAGACGGCGGTCTCGATTCCTGCAAAGTCGAGACGGCGGTCTGGATTTTCCAGACGGCGGTCTCGACCCCCTGCAAAGTCGAGACGGCGGTCTGGATTTTCCAGACGGCGATCTCGAACCTGTCAGCGGAGACGGCGGTCTCGACCTGTCAGGCGCGAAAAACTATAAATAGGGGCGTCATTTCTCCCTTTTCACACACCCCAACAGCAAGAGCTCTCCCTTCTCTCTAGAATTTCTCTCTCTAAGAATCCCTCCGAGACATTTCCGGAGTTTCTGAGCGTCTCTAGGCATACACAGAGTGTTCTAAATCTTCTTTAGAATCCCTCCGAGGCATTTCCGGAGTTTCTGAGAGTTGTAGAGTGAAGGGTTGCCAAAACGCACCCTCTCCTTTTTAATATATAAAGCTTGCTTTGGAGGTGCATATCCTCACTCTCTATTTTTTACTGCTATTTAAATTACGCAATAGAAGCTAGGGCCATGTAGTCATATATTTAAATACCGTATAATAAAAGGGTAAAAGCGTTATTTTCCAGTTTAATTATTTATTCAAATTAGCCAGCCTATCATAGGGAACCCGAAAGGGGCGTCGTAAAGGAACTAACACTTCCTTTACGCGTAACTAACTCCTTTACCCAACTCTGGTTCTAATGACCACAGTTGGTTTTCGAAAACCAACGCCTTTTTAAACCCCTTTTCCGATGTTTATGGTAAAAATATCGGTGGCGACTCCATAGAACCCAACTAAATAAATCCCTGGGTTAGCCCGGTTATCGGACAACTCAGGGATACTTTTGAAAACCTCGCCCCTAGGTTAGCCCGGTTATCGGACAACCTAAAGGCGTTGTAACCACCAATAAAAAACGCGAAAATCAAAGAAGAAGAGTCGAAAAACCATCGCGTCGCTCTGACCGCCTCCTTTTTTACGGCGGCGACATGAACCTTAACAAGCCTAATATGTTTAATAATTTTAAAGTTTCCCAATATGTTTAATAGTTTTGTTAGTTGTGACAGTAAAAACAGGTTATTACAAAGGGCTTGAAAGAAAATTTTGATCATCATCAAAAAGGGGGAGATTGTTGAACATACAAGGATATGAAGCTTGAAGATGATTCAAGAATAGAGGACTTAAAGATTTGAATACTTATAATCATTTGTATTTACTTGTAATAACTCTATTTTATACTTTTGAGTCTGTAAAATTAGAGTCCAAGATAGCCAGCACATAGTTCATCCTCTGAAAGTTCATTTTTATCAAAACCACTCTGTAATAATCGATTATCACTCAGGATAATCGATTATCATGCTTTGAAACCTATTTTCTGAAAATCTTGCTAGAATAATCGATTATCTGGATTGATAATCGATTATCCCAGTTTGAAAGTTCTGGAATAATCGATTATCAAACTAGATAATCGATTATCCTGGTTCTGTTTTACTCCTCTGTGAAAATAGTTCTGTAATAATTGATTATCACTTAAGATAATCTATTATCTACGTCTGTTATGAGTTTTGAATTTCAAATTTGGACCAATTTACGAAAACTCTATTCCCAATGCTTCAAGTTTCGAAAACCTTTATTTCGCAGACTCTATTCTCTCTACATAAGGTTCTCTAAGGCTCTCTGCAAAATAACAAACATTTTTCATACAAAAGTTAAGAGTTGTGATTGCTAGAGAACTTTGTGTAGGGAAGAAAAAGGGGCTTTTGAAAACCTAGTGTGAGCTAGAAGCGATAAGAATCACTGAGTGAGTTTCTTGGTGTATTGTGTGTTGTGCCGTCTCTAGGAAAAATTGTTGTTCATCCTTTGTGGATTCAAAGGAGATGTTCATCTCTTGTGTGACTCAAGAGATGTGTTTTCTAATCCTTATCTTTTTCAATTTGTAATCTGTTGTAAACTGTGATTATAGTGATAGCGTTAATCCTCTTTTAGAGTGATTAACAACTAGACGTAGGGTCTTTTGATCTGAACCAGTATAAAACACTTGTATAATCTTCTTATCCTTTATCTCTTTACTTTACAAGCATTTTAATCGGTGAAATTTTGAAAAAATTTCAAAACCCTAATTTTTTATAAGAAACTAATTCACCCCCTTCTTGGTTTTTGTCCCTAAACACGAACATTCCGCTATGTGATTCTAACAAAGTTGCCTAGTAGTACGAAGATATTGCTACTACAGTTTCCAAATTTCAGTCCAACAAGAAAAGTCGCCTATATTAAAAAAACACAATATGTCATTCTTGAACAACGCCAATATATTGAAAAGAACATAGCCAATATATGGAGAGACAAGTTGGTGGATGAAATTGATCATTCTTTTTCAAACCTTTGGTTGTAGAAAACATGCAATAACCTTGTTTTGCAATTATCAAAAAGTAAACACAAAAGCTAGATATTGGATCTTCTTTAAGTCACATGCCAGAAAGCTTGATAATGACAATTTCTACAAGAACAAAATTATCAAATGCATGCTTGACAGCTCTTGTACTGAGTTCAATCCTGGTGAACATTTATTCTTCTTAGCTAAAATATCAAACCAGCTCACCAAACTCACCTACTGAACAAACTAGAGCATTATTACTTCTAATTATTCTAATAGATAGATAGACAAAGTAAAATGAATAATTTATCTTCCTTCGGTTGTATTAAGCATAATATCTGGATGCAATAAATATAATAAAAAAACATGTATATTATTACACTTATAAAAAATAATATACATGAAGTTCTTAAATTCTGAGAAAAAATGGCTATTAGTTATTATTAGTCTCATTAATTTAAAATAATAGTTTTATCTATAAATAATTTTATTAAAAATTATAATAAAGAAAATGATTAGTAAATTACGTTAACTAAATTCTTTAATAAAGAATATAGGCATAAAATTAATAAATATTCATAATAATAAAAAATCTATTTTTATTATTTATTATATAGGATAAAAAATATTATTAATCTCATTAATTTAAAATAATATTTTTTTAAAAATCAACTAAGGACCTGAAGATTAATTTATCAACTAAACCAATCTAATGCAAGTTACTTGTTATTATTTTATTTATTTATTTGGAATAAAACAAACTAAAGGTAAGCTTAACACAAACTCAATTAATTAAAAAAAATGGTTTCAAAACAATCAATTAATAAGTAAATACTTTTTATCTTCTAAATAATGTACAATGCTACTCCAAAATTTAGTGGAATCATATTAATAATATATAAAGTAAAATATTAATAAAAAAAATCATTATAACTTTATCTTTAAACAATAAAATGTTTTTAATAAAAAAATATTTTACTTCTTGTATGGTCATTAAAAGATAAATAATATTTTTATATTAATCAAGGAATATCAAAAATAAATTTTTAGAATGACAAACTTGTGTTATTAAAATATAAATAATATGTTTACACGATTCTTTTGATTTCTTATTGATAAAATGAAGTTTTCAAGCTTAACCTAGATTTTAAACAAAAAAAATCGGTTATTAGTCATTATTAATACATTATTAATACAGTAATTTAAAATAATACTTTTAAATATTTTTATCTATAAATAGTTTTATTAAGAAATTATAATAAGGAGAGTGATTAGTAATTTTCGTTAACTGAATTCTTTAATAAAGAAGTAAGTTAGAAAATTAATATATATTTCATATTAATAAAAAATTATTTTTATTATTTATTATATAGGTTAAAATGTGTTTTTAGTTATACATTATTTTGTTGAGGTTTTTGTTTTTAATGTCTCAACACTTATTAAACAGATTTTAGTTTATAAATTTAATCATTCCAAAAGTAACCGTCCCTCCTTGTTATGCAAATTAAAATTATTTACCTCTCGTAAGCTTCAATTTATAATATTTCAATTTATAATATCCCAAAAGAAGAAAACTTAGTAGTTTAGTATCATAAATCGTATACAGTAAATAAATAAAATTGAATTCATATTAAATCAATATATATTATTGGTTAGAGTAGTTGAGTGACTGTAACAAAAATATCATAAAAATATTATTTAGAACTTGAATGAACTTAGTTTTCTTTTGGTGGAGAAGGAAGGTTCATGATGACCTACTGTAAATTGTAGACAAGCTACTATTTGTTTTATTAATCATCACTTAACACTATATACAATCACCATAATTTAATATAAATAAAAAACACTTTTCTTTTAACTTTTCAAAATTTATGATGATTTTTTAGGATATTTTTATCTACAATTTCTCCTCCATTTCTTGGGAAAAACATTGTCCTCTGGTAAAAGATAAGGATGATAATGATACAAAATTAAACTAGTGTTTATGGATGTTTACAGCCGACCACTTTCAACCAATTATTTGTTCATTACTTTTTCCAAAATGTAGAGTTCTTGGGCAAATCATCAAGTAAAAGAGAGAAAACAAAATCTATACACAAAACTAAATAGTTTTTATACTATTCTTTAAGACTACTATAAACTTTCTGTGTTTGTAAGCTATAACTGTTAATTATGATTTTTCACTGACTGATAATAGTTGTTGTGCATAAAAGTAAACTAATAAAAAATCTATTTACGAAAGTAAAAGTTGACCAATTTTCATCTTTTCTCTTTCATTCATGTTTTGTGACATGAATTAATAAATATATGTGGAGTTTAGCTATGGTGACAAGATTCTTGTGAGCTAACAACAACAAAAAATTTGCTCTGTACCAATCACTTTAACCATCTCTCTTTCTCTCACACACCTTCTTCCTATCTCCTTTCAAAACTCTACTTCTCTTTGCAATTTAATTATCTTATCATTTATGTTGCTGCTAATTGGATCCGGATAAACTTTTTAGCTAGTAATGTCGAGGCATAAAGCAGAAGTGGAGATATTCTTTCATGGTTTTATGAACTAAGAAGATATTTTCATTTTTCCATATGAAGAGTAATTTATAAATAGTTGTAAAAGTTTTTAAAGTTTTTTCTATTTATTGAGTGTCTGGTACTAATCTCACCTAAACTTTTATATAGAAAAATAGTCTTAAAGTAATAAAAGATGAAAAAGAGTATGTATCTTCCCTATAAAAGGGAAAAACGTAAAAGGGAGACAAAGGTTACTATGCTAAAACAGCTCCCAAAATGGCACACAAGTATGTATACTAAAATGGACCTACAGACAACAAGGTTCTCTTTTCTTTCCCTCCTTTTCACCATACACATCTATCTCTTCTTTTACTCTACACTTCTTTTTCTTGCACAAATAGTAATTCTTTGGTACATTCCCTTAAATACTATTAACCATGTTTAACATTATGTGATAGCAAATATGTATGACAATATGGTATTAACACAGTATGGAAGAACTCAAATAATTATATCTTTAAACACTAGAACTCTTAAGTAGGTAATATTATTGACACTGGCAGGGTATGGAGAAGGCATGAAAAAGGTAAGACATGTCTCAAAATAAATGACCTTACACTATTTTAGAGCTAAGAAACCCTCCATACTCATATTTAAGAGCTTCTAGCAAGTCCCAATGAAGGAGGGCCACAAAGGGTTTTAAGCCTGCCTAAATAAAAATACCAAGTTAGCAAGGAAGAGGCATCTAACTCCCTCTTTCACCTATATATTATTCAAAGTTAGATTTCAACACAAAAATCGAAAGACAAAAGAAAACAAAAATTGAAGAATTTGATGGATTTACCAAAGGATTAACCACTCTTTTTCCCTCTGCAGAAAATAACTCAACATTGTGAAATTCCAATAACTATTTATGAATATGAGAATATGAAACTCAATGTAGCTTTCAAATAAAGAAGTATATATATATATATATATATATATATATATATATATATATATATATCTTACTTGGGAATATGTGGCTCCATGAGATAAGAAATCTAAAGTAATCCAACCCAAATTTTATTAAATTAAAGGAAGTTAAACACAAGTCATCTAAAGATTGGTTTTAATCTTGAAACATATACCTTTAAGTGTTTTTTAATTGTCCTATTCATTAGTAATTTAGTATATATTGTCATGGTGGTCCTGACCATATTAGAGAAACACACTCTTACACACTTCACTAAACCAGATTACTTACAAACTCTCAGCCCAACCAATATATCTATTTTCACATTTTCATCGTAATTCCAATCATAAATCAACGAAGATAACAAAAACTCATCGAGCAAATAGGGAACAGAGCAAACAGGGAACAAGGACAGATGCTAAAGGAGCTATTACTCAAGTTTCCAATTTGTAATCCAGTAAATTTAACGTTGTGGCCTTAATTATATTTAAAAATTCAGTAATACCAACCTAAAGGAGCTATTACTGAAGTTTCCAATTTGTAATCCAGTAAATCAAGATAAGAAATTTGCTTTCGTAGCACTACCCTTGCATCCATCAACACATATAAAAAACATACCATGTAAAATTAGATTGAATAAGGAAATTCAAATAGATTAAATAAGCATTACCGTATAGAGGTCATGTCCGTGATGTCCTATGCTTGGGTTAGAGGTCATCAAGTTTTGGGATGAGATTTGAGGTCATCGGGTTAGGGTTCTAGTACGAGGTTTTGTGGGTTTTGGTTAGAACTGAAGTCACCAGGGTTAGGTTCACTGAGGCTTAGGTTAGGGTTTGATGTTGCCACAGTTGCTGGTCGCTCGGGTTCAAGGCTGTCGAGGTTTGGGTTAGGGTTCGAGGTCAGATAGGTTTGCGTTGGGTTTGACAGTACGATGATTGAGGTTTGGCTTCAGATTGGGGTTCGATGCTACCGGAGTTGGGTTTGGGCCTCAAGTTCGTTGAGTTCGTTGAAGTTGAGGCTGAGGTTGAGGTTGGAATTCGCTTGGGGATGGAGAGATGAAGGGTCTAGGTTAAGCTTGAACAAGTGTGCTTGCTTGCTGTCTTGTTCTCTGTCACGAATTGGGATCGCTCGCCAACTAGGTCATATTGGAGCAATAATTTTGAGAACATATTACCCATATTCAGGGACAAGGGGCAGAACGACCTCTCGATTTGCTTACTGCAGCCTAGGAATAAAAACTTCGGTTAATGCGCGAAGAAGATGAAGAAAATTTGGGACACGACACGAAGAAGATGAAGAAAATTTGGGACACAGAGTGCAAAGAAGATGAAAATTTCGGACCTAGGTTAGATCCTACAGCGCAAAAAAAATGAAAAATTACCACAGATGATTGAAAAACAAAAATAATTACATAAATTAAATGTAGATTAATTAAAAAATAAATTAAATAATAAAGTGACTGAAATAGTAACTAATTTTATGTGACTTTACTATTTTAATTACAAAACTAAAAAAATAATAATTTGGTTACTGATTAGTAACTAAATTTTTTCGGTCACTAATTTTAGTTACTATTTGACATTTTTCTAGTAGCGTGGGACCTAGGCAAGTTTGAAGTTGAATGAAGTGAGAACCATTAATGAAGAGTGGCGATGGATTGAGCGAGTTGAAGATATGGGAGAGAGAGAGAGAGAGGGAGAATGAAATAAAAGGAGAAGAGGTTGGATGAGGAATAATGGTGAAATCACATACGAAGAGGAAGACGAAAACGAGAAAGTGATATAAACTGAATTTTACATCAAATTATATGAGATTTGACATGAAATAATTAGTTTTAATTTAAAAAAATACTTTCATAATTTTTGCTACATCGAATAATAACATATTTGACGAAAAAAAAAATAACGTAAAAAAATATTTTGTATTAGTAATAGTGACATCTTTTTCCATTTTTATTTGCATTTTTTATATATATTTTTCCAATAGATGGCTATTATTTGAAAATTCTAAACAATAATTGAATGATAAATTATTTATAAAAAATAAAGTATAGAAAAGGATAAATTGAGATATTTTCCTATGTTTTGAAATGGTTTCTTAATAATTCGATGATAGATCATTTATAAAAAAATAAGGTATAGAAAAGAGTAAATTGAGATATTTTCATATGTTTTGAAAGGGTTGATTAAGTCCTATTTACCAATAATGGATTAATGCTTTTTCATGTAATGTTCAAACATATTTTAGAAACTTGAATAATATAAATCATAAAATAAACAAACTCAAAGTATTTTATTTTGACACAGTAATATTATATTAAAATATTTTATTGCTCTTTAAATGGTTGTTTGCTAATTTTAAACATTTTAATTTAATATTTAAAAATATAAGAATAACTTGTAGAAAATAAATCTTTCAAATATAATCAAAGTTTCAAAGTATGATGTCACGTCGGATGCAATATTTATTTTTAAATGGATATTATATATATAAAAAAAGGAATGGTATAATCAAATCCAAACTCGAATGTCAGTTCTAGTAGCAATTTCAATATTAGTTAATTTATCAACATACTTATATTTTTAAGAGACCAAGGTTATTGAGCCACTTTCCAGCCATAATATATCCATCCTCTAGGGATAGAAAGTTCAATGGCTAGCATAGGGGCAATCCGGTCAGCATGAAAGAGGAATCTTAGTGCCAATATAAGCACAAAATCCACCAATAAATTCACTCTTGAATATTTAACTACACTTAAAATTAAATAATATATTATTAATAAATAATAAGTAAATATAAAAATAAAATTTTTAAAAAATAAAATATTAAAATATATATACATATTTAATAATAATAAAATTTTAAAAATTAAAATCATAAATATTATTATAAGTTATAATGTTTTGAGAATCATGATCTTTTTTATTACAAGAAGTTCGCCTTAGACAGTTGTATATTAATTTAGATGACTTGAATGATTCTAGTGATGATGTGTTTAAATATCAAAGAACTTGAGAAAAAAAATCTTCTATTATTTATGATATTAGATAAGTTATCGAAAAGTTAAATTATTTAATAATACTAATAAAATTTTGTAATTTAATATTTAAAAATATATGAAAAACTCGTGTAACAAATATCGTTAAACAATTGAGAAAACAAGATAAAAACAATAATAAATTAAAGAATTTTAAATTTATTTCTTAAGTCATATTCAACAATAATGAATTGATACGTTTCATACGACAGTTACAAATATATCAGAAACTTGAATATCATAAGTAAAAAAAATTGAAAGTAATTTAAAAATATAAGAGAAACTTGAATAACAAGAATAATATGAAAAAAAAATTTAAAAATATATATGAAAAACTTAAATAACATAAATAATATCACATTAAAATATTTTTATTGTTCTTCAAATAGTTATTTTCTTAATTTAAAAATTTTAATATAAATTTGAAAATATACTAATAATAAAATGAAGAGCATAAATCTTTCAAATAAAAGTTAATTTTAAAGGAAATTGATTTGTAGAGTATAATGTTATTTGTAAACAATATTTTAAATCCTTTTTCTATATTATTGTATCAACTAATAATAAATTTGAGGTGTGGACTTTAACATTTAAAAGTGTACGAAAAACTTAGGTATAAAGTAACAAATTAAAGTATTTTCATATCTTTTGAAATGTTTTCTTAATCCACATTCATCAATAATGAATTAATGTATTTCCATGTAACGTTTAAAAAAATATGCAAAAATAATAATAAATTGAACCGTTATCGTAAATTAACAATTGAGAAAATAAATGAAGATTAATTTACTTTTTGATATATTTTATTACATTAAAATATTTGTATTTATTTTAAAATAGTTCTTTTCTTAATTTACATATTTCAATGTAATATTTAAAACTATAACTAGTCTTTAGACAAAATATAATGTCAATGGTTGTATGTAAACCGTGGTTAAAAAAGAGGTAATGATAATTTTAAAATTATTTTTAATTTTTTAATGATAATTCATTTATAATTATTGTTGTATGTCAAATACGATAGCGATTATAAATAGAATCATTATCGTTTGTGACATACGACGATAATTACAAAATATTAACGATTATATTTATAACAGTCATATGTTTAACATTTTAACAATACTTCTTTTATAACTGTTGTTATATATCACATACGATAATAGTTATAGAATAATCATCATCATATATCTCAGTTAAATTTTCAACTTCACCAATTTTGTTTATTTCATCTTTGCGTTTTCACTTCTCTTTTCTTCTTCTCTCCTTTTTTTTCTCTTCTCCTCCATTGCAACTCTTCTCTTCTTCCTTTGTTCATCGTGATTCAACTTTTTTTTTTCTTCTCCTTTTTTTTCTTTCTCAAAATGTTTTTCTCTACCATAAATGTTTCTACCACATTTATATCTAACACACTTAAAGTTGTCACTAAGGAGAACAATAGTGAAAGACAAAATTTTGTTAAGAAAGAGGTAGAGAACAATATTTTACTGTGACGGATGTAGAGGAAAATATTTTACTGAACACTTTAAACTAACTTAGAAGAACAGTAATGAGAAAGTAGTGAAAGCTTACAGGTTTGTTATGATAGAGCAACATGAGAGTAGTAGAAGTTTATGTTGTGGAGGAGCAACAATGAAGGAGTAGTGGGTCACTAGTGAAAAAAAGGGCTTTTACGTCACCCAATTGTCGTCGCATGTAAAAATATTCGACGTAAATA